TGAAACACAAATTAGAAAAACATCTAAAAGCAATTGTTGATATAAGGAGAAAAAGTCCATACCAGATGTTTACTCGTATGTCATCACAGGAAAATTTGGCCAACCCAATGTGCTCACAAACAGTGTGTGGAAGAATGTTACTTTTGCAAAAAGTCAGCCTTTTCAGAAGAAATATTATGGGAAATATTGTACAGTAACTTCTCAGAAAGACAGTTAGACCAATTCTCCCAATCAATGTACTTGTAAGAATGGTGGTGTACCTCAGTGGGTAGCATATGGCAATGTGGCGGTCAAATGCCATCTCCAGCAAGATCCCTGACTCAAAGACAAAGGTGGAATCGATGAAGAATACCTGAGCAATGCAGCGATCCAGGGAGATCTCCTGAGCATGGAACCAGAAGATGGTCAAGGCCTGAGGCACTGTGCATGTGGAGAGGACAATGTCTGCTCCGGCCAGCATGCAGAGGAAGAGGTACATGGGTTCATGAAGACTACGCTTGGTGAGGATAATGAAGATGAGCAAGCTGTTCCCAAGCAAGGCGATGGCATAGGAAATGAAGAAGGGGATGGAAATCCACACGTGCTGGTTCTCAATGCCAGGGATGCCCAGCAAGTGGAAGACTGTGTGGCTAACACCAGTGTGGTTTAATGTAGTCATACCTGGGGCATATGACCTGGGACTTCACCTTCTAGTTACAGACATAGTCAACATTTCCAATTGTACTCAAATCTTATGACACCTGATTCTTTTCTGTAAGCAGTGTGCCAGGAAAACTAGGATGAAAAAAGAAATAGGATATTGTCTGTTTTTTTTTATAGTGAAGTAACAATTTTACAGAAAAGATAGATATTTATTTAGCCAATAAAATAATATGCTAGGTGAACATGTTAGTTATAATAAAAGCTACTATGGGAACCCAATTGATTGGGTAATTCAGTCTATTTAGCTGTAGGATGTCAAGTGAATTAAGTGGAGAATAAAATGAAGTCATCTTGGAGTTTAAGGATTGACTATTGTCATATAAATATTTAATGCATTTAAAACATATCACAATCCTGTGTGATTGATTGCATCTACTATGCAATGGTAAAAAGATAAAAACAAAAGTATATTGTCTGGTTACAAGTTAAGGAGCTTGGATGCTATCCTAGAAGGAGATAGTCAACCACCTTCAGCTTTAAATTGTACTGGAGAGCATTAGATATTACTCTGCTTACTTAACATCAGACAAGGTCTTAATATTCTCAAATGTTTACCTTAGGCCCTATAGCCCTTTAATATAAATAGGATACTCTCATTTTTACTTCCTAGAAGATTACCCCACATCAGTACATACCTTATTCACCTGCTTCAAATGTAGTCTTTATATCCTAGAGCATGATGAATCAAGCAGGTCTCAGGTTTGGGCATCACAAAGCAGAGATTTTTATGTATTTGCCTGAAGACTCCAGGGAAAGCCAGTTCCTCAGGGAACTCAGATTTACTTCAACAATAACCCTTCTTTCACATACACATGGGTCAAGTTATTATGGCTCTTTATATCTGCCAACCCCACCCATTCTGTACAACTCTATCCTTGGATTGGGTGTGCACATATATTATTTCCAACAAATAAAGTATTAGGATCATTACACCAAATATATCTGTTTTCATGAGAAATAGTAAATATTAATCCTACTTATATCAGCACAAATAAATTGACTATAAAATATGGACATTATTTAAAAAACACTGGTTCCTGCAAGGTTTTCATTGTGGTTTTGATAAATTCAAAATGAAATTTTTTGTACCTGAACATATGGACACACTAAGAAGAAGGAGCCCCCTGGTTTGGCTCAGTAGTTAGAGTGTTGGGGTCACAGGTTTGATTCTGGTCAAGGACTTGCACCTTGGCTGCAGGCTTGGTCCCAGGCCATGGTCAGGGCATGTGAGGAAGGCAACCCATTGATACGTCTCTCTCACATGGATGTTTTTCTCTCTTTGTTTCTCCCCCTTCCTTCCTCTCTCTCTCTTTCTCAAAAAAAATTTTTTTCAATGAAAAAAATATCTTTGGGTGAGGATTAATAAAAAAAAAAAAAAGCCAACAGAGAGGGAGAATCCTCTTGAGATGCATATCACATTCTGATAGTCAAAATGGAAACCGCAGTGCTTGTTATTCGTAGCTCTTACCAACCTGTTTGTAACAACTTGAGACTAAGATCTATGGCATTCTAGAGCTGGAACAACTCTCAGACAGATGAACTAATTCTACTTCTCCCCAAGTTCAGTTTCTTTAAAAAATTAAAAGATTTTAATTACAGTTGACTTACAATATTATTTTAATTTCAAGTGTACAATATAGTGATTAGACATTTATATAACTAGTGGAGTGATCACCCAGATAAGTCCAGCTCCCATCTATGAGAATAAACAAGTCATCTTTTCTGTCAAAGAACAGTTTGGACAGCCGCCATTTTGGACTGCGTGACTTGGCAGCTGCTATGTTGGCCACATGGCTTGCATCTCCCCTGGGGGCCGTTGTCTTGAAACAGCAAAGGCAACCCCTCCCTTTGAATTAGCCAATTGTGAAAGACTGTGTGCCTGAGCTCCAATCAAGAGCAAGGGACAGGTCACGTGTGTCAGGGGTTATAAATCCTGAGCAGACCACCTGCTCGGGGTGTGCATGTTTCCAGACCATGTGTGTGCACCATTCTACATAAGAAGTAAAGATGTTTGCCTTGCTGCCTGGCTCCCGAGTATGTTTTGTGTTCTACCAGGACCCCTGACTTGGGGGGGCTTGCCTTATTTCTAACACAACTGACTCCACACAATTATTACGATATTCTTGACTATATTTGAAAACTGCTTTGGAAAACTGCTACTTGAAACTGCTGTTTGAACTACTCTGTTATTCTTAGTCTCTTATTCTGTAGGTCAACTCTGTTATTTTTAGATGTAAAATAACTTTGTTTTTTGCTTGAATAGAAAAGATAAACTTAATTGTCTGAACTTGCAAGCTAGCCATCTAACTGATATGCTGATATTGATCCCAGGTGCCTGTATAGATATGATACTCAAGATTATAGGTGTTTGTATAGATATGATATGTACTCAAGGTTACACGCTGTCTACAAAAATAACTTACACAAAGAACTAGGAAGATATATAAAGGAAATACTCCCTCCTGTGTTTGTTCAGAATTTGAGAGGTAATCTGCTCTGAACCTGCACACAATAAAGATGGCTCCTAATTAATTGGCTAATTAAGGTGTCTTGTCCAGCTCACTGATTTGCAATACAACATATTCTCTAGGCTGTACTTTCTATCCTGTGACTATTTTTATAACTGGCAATTTGCACTTCTTAATCCCTTTACCTCTTTCACCTTTCCTCCCAACCTCCTCCTGTCTGGCAACCCTGGTTATTCTTTGTATCTATGAGTCTGTTTCTGTTTTGTTCATTTATTTTGATTTTTTTACATTCCAACTTTAGTTTAAGGTGGTAAGAGAGATACCCAGAGCAAGGAAGAAATGTTACTGAAATCACATGGCAAATGAATAGACTGGTAAGGCATTCCATATCCTTCTTCCGGCTTATCAATCAAGGCACTGGTTGATTTTGCCAACTTATATTGATTTAGCTCCAGTAATGATGTCATCTTGCCTGAGAATTCTGTTCTTTTTATCCTTTCTATTCAGTGATAAGATAGAAACTTTTTTTTTCTTTTTTGTCAATAAACTCTATTCAAGGTCACCAACATTTTTTAGAGTATCTGAATTTTTTATGTAATTTAGCAGATGTTCTAAGGGCACATCTTCAAATTCTATTTTAGATAAGGAACCAGACTTTCTGGAAGGATAATGGCTCTCTCATAGCCTATTATGCTCAGGTACAGAGCTTCATTCCCACCTTAAAAGTTTAAACTCAAAAAAGTGTTGGCTGTCACTAGGTGGTGCTGTCATCTTAGTCCTGGCCTTCATACCAATGTGCCCGCAACCAAGGCACATGCCCTTGACCGGAATCAAACCCAGGACTCTTGAATCCGCAGGCCGATGCTCCATCCACTGAGCCAAACCAGTCAGGGCCACCTGAACTTTTTATCCATTTCTGTGGTTGAGTTACCATCCAGCTCCTGGGGTCCAGAGAAGCAGAACTAGTAAGTGATAAATATTGAGATTTATTGCAAGGGATTCACTTAGGCAATTATGGGGGGTGGCAAGGCAAGTTCTAAATCTGCAGGGCAGGCCATTAGGAAGGGCAAGGCTGGAACTCTTGGGCATGAGCTTAAGCTGCTCTTCTTAGGTGGAATGTCTTCTCCAGGGAAGGCTTGGTTCTGCTGTTGGTGTCTCACCTGATTGCATCAGACCCACTCAGCTCATCTAGGGCAATTTCCCTTACTTACACTCAAATGATTATGGACTTTAATGACATCTACCAAACACCTTCATAGCAACATGTAGATTAGAGTTTGATTGAAAAACAGGGTGCTTAGAACCTGACCAAGTGGACACATCAAAAATCCATCACAACTTTCATTTAGATCAGCAGTTCTTAACCTGTGGGTCGCGACCCCTTTGGGGATCGAATGACCCTTCCCCAGGGGTCGCCTAAGACCATGGGAAAACATATTGTTTTTGTGATTAATCACTATGCTTTATGTTCAATTTGTAACAATGAAAATACATCCTGCATATCAGATATTTACCTTACGATTCATAACAGTAGAAAAATTTACAGTTATGAAGTAGCAACGAAAATAATTTTATGGTTAGGGGTCACCACAACGTGAGGAACTGTATTAAAGGGTCGCGGCATTAGGAAGGTTGAGAACCACTGATTTAGATTGATGTGCCCTTTAACAAACTCCATTATCAAGATACGGTTGGGAGATAATGGTGATGCAGGCTGGATATTTAACTTGGCAATCTAAGGTGTGCTTAATTCACCTTAAAAAAATGTGGAGCCACCTATGATCAGATGTGTTTGTGTTGGAAAGTTTGTCTCAAATATGAGAACAAGAGTTGAATGGGATAGAGGCACAATTTATTTGGGAAGCCCTTTTGCAAACTATGTAAAATAAAATAGAGATCTGAGCAAAGGCCTAGAGATGGGGAAAACAAAAAGAGAAGGCAGAACATGTTTTGGTTGATCCAGATGAGTTTGGACCAAATATAAGTAGTTTCTTTTGGAGAGGGAATCATAAGCAATCTAGGGCAGGAATACTGAGGTTGAAGATCACTTGACATAGATGTTCAGTGACCTCCTTGTCAAACCTGGCTTGCTGGTATCCCGACACCTCTGCAGAGACAAAGGCAGTTCGGAGGTCATTGGGAAATAAGACAGGATGAGTGGCTGAGGAGGGGGAGGCAACAAAGGAGGTGTTAGTGTCCAGAGAGAGCCATCAACAGTCAGTGGCTCCCTATCATGCCATCCTCAGAGGACAGAGGGTCAGAGGGGCTGAGTTTCTTCCACCATCATCAAAACCAGGATTGAAGAAAGGCCGTAGGGGCCCAGTGAAGGCGCATCCTGAGAAGGTGTAGATGAGTGAGCCGTGGTCAGTGATGTTGTAGAAGGAGACAGTACGGGCCTCATAGTCCAGGAAGATCCCAATTTGGCCCGGAGGCACCGAGAGGTGGAGTGGAGTCTGCGGGCAGGTGCCAGCCTCATATTTTTCTTTCTTCCACAGCCAAATTGTCCAGAAGCCATTCATGGGGCTGAGTATAAAATGCCCCTTCCTCTGCACAGAGTCTCTACAAACACCCAGGTCCCAGGCCTCCTTTCCCGTCACATCTACCTCCCAGTAACGTTTTCCAGAGTCGAAGCACTGGGTACCCAGGACCATAGGATAAGTATCAAATCTCTCCTCTTTTTCAGGCACCTTCTGCTGGGTGTCTCCAAGCCTCACTTGTCTCTTGTCCTCTGAAATGATAAGCCACGGATTGGCTGTGTGTGGATCCAGAGTGATGTGTACTGCAGAGAGAGGACCACAGTTAGGCTGGGAGAGTGTGTGTGGGGAGTAACTAACCCTGTCTCTGTGGTTGGGGGGATGATGGGGTGAGCCTGAACATCACTGTGTGAGGAAATGACCCCCCCCCCCCCCAAGCCAGCTCCAGCCCTTGTCCGGACTATTGAGGGAACCACTTTCCCTAGCTCTGTTCCTGCCCCACCTGCTTTGATCCAACATCTCTCCCCAACCCTGGACCTAGTCACACTCTTGTCATCCTGCTCCTGTTCATAGGCTGGTTCTGTACTCCTGGAGCTTGCCTCACCTCCACACATCCTCAGCATACTCTTCAGCCCTGGCACAAGGCACACACTCCTCAGGTCTGGGGAGGTGATGTCCAGCTCTCCAAGTTTCCAGGATTCACTCCTGGGGGAAACAGAGTTAGACACCTCATCTTTAACTCCTCCCCCACCTTCCCCGAACCCCAATGCGATAACCTCTCTTGCAGATGACTGATAACTTAAACACAAATTTACAAACACATGCTATATTAGAATATCTGGGGGTGAGAGACAAAAGGAGGCAGGATTTATACCCTATCCAGGCCTCCCCATCACATGGGCCTCTGGAGCATGTACAGAGTCTGTATCTCCTCTCCAAGCCCGAGGTCACCACAAAAGCACTTCCGGTTTCATTTTACAGGCAGGGATCTACGCGGAATCATTTTCTAAGGAACGTCAAGGAGCTTCACCCATGCCGTGGGTCCTACTCATGGCTCTTTCTGGGAGGTGTGTGGCTAGTTAGTTTTTAAAAGAAGTCCCATCAGCCTGTAGACCCAGAACCTCCCAGAATTTCCCTGTTTGTCAGGGCTTCATTTTGTGAAGATGTTACAGTCCAATTACTTTGGACAACTCACCAACTGAGATGCCCAAGAATTAGCCCTGGGAGACCAGAAAATATTTCATGGAGGATTGTATCTCTGAGAATAGGAAGGTGCATGGGGAAGACTTCAGTGCATGTTTCTCTAACTCAATAATCATTAATGCAGGTAAATACACCTCCTGCCACCCCTTCCTCCAACAAAGAAAACCTCTCCTTACCTTTCCAGGACACTTTTCACCTCCTGAGGAAAAAAGAGACAGAGAGTAAGTTCCAGAATCACTGGTTGAACGACTGAGACGTCAGTCCCGTGGGTGATGCGATGCCACCCTGAGGTCCTTAGGACACTGCTCTGTCCAGTTCCTCTGGGCCATGGCCCGAAAGACGTCTCTGACCAACTTGGAATGGAGGGATGTGTGGACGCTCGTGGGTAACCAGAAACCCACAAATAACCGTATGTAACCTATAGCCACGAAGACGATCAAACAAGTTAGAAAGACTAGACTCTTGGGGCGAGGAAGTGGGTGGCGAGAGTGGAAAGAAGCAAATAGCCCCACCTGGCAGAGGCCCAGAGACAGTCACAGGGAAAGAATAGCCAAGTCAGGATGCACAGAAGCTGCTCTGTCTCATTTGTGGGCTTGAGCTGTTTGGAGAGAAAAGGCTGGTTAAAGCTCTGTCCTGTGCTGTCGTTAATGTTGCTCCCTCACGTATGTGAAATCAGATCACCTGAGAATATTCTGTTGCTGAGGTTGGGAGCCTGTATCTGGTCCTGGCAGGCTCCTCAGTGCTCCAAAAGTGCATTAGAAGGTTGGCAAACAAATCACTGGTGGATATGAGATAATTTTAAATAGCATATACACTGATGACTTAAAAAAACAGTTATGTACTTCTTTTAATCTTAGCTCTTTCTCATACTACTCGGGTGAACTGGGTCAAGTTACTTAGCTTTTGTCTCTCACTAACTCTCTTAACATCTCTGTGCCTTAGTGTTCTCATCTAGAAAATGGAATAATAGAACCACCTCCTCACAATGTCAGGAGGGATTCAATGCCTGGCATGTAATATGTGCTATTTAAGAATACGCAGTTATTCTTATGAAATAGAAAAAGTATCAGCAACAACATCAACATGATTTCTTGCCTATTATTGGTTAGGACAAATTTCCTTTTAAACTAAATTTATTCTGGCAAAAGTGTGAGACAATTTAAAGAAAAATAACATGTTAAGATCACTTAGGTAGTTCATAGAAGTAGCAGAAAGTATAAAGGAGACACAATTATGACCCAAGTTTGGGGAATTCTTGTTTCTTAGTCCATCTCCTTTCCCTTATTTTTCACAAATGGATAAATTAGGTCCAGGAAAGGAAAAAATGACTTAACCTAGAGTGGTAGAGAGGACTGGTGACAGGGCTGGGGCTGGGCTACTGTCTCTTAATTTTCAGTTCAATATTTTTAGTTTTTAGGAAAACTTTCCCATGGCCAGATATTCATCAAAAAGCCTTGGTGGATTCTCATTTAATTCTCACAAAAATTCTTTGAGATATGTAATACAATATCCATTTAACATATGAGAAACCTGATTAAGGACCTTTCTCAAGGTCATGAACCTGGTGCATGTTAGAGCAGGCAGTTATCAGAGACGTTCATTTAAAAAAAATTGCTGCATGGATTACTCCCTCCTAAGTCTGTATCTTTCCATGCCTTGAATGCAAACCACTCATGGGTCTGAATTCCAGTTTGTTTTATTAAAAAAAAAAAAAAATTCCAGGGACCAGGTTTCTGTTTGCTCTGACGATAGCCCCAAGGAGCTCTGGCTTTTGTTCGGTTCCTCCTTGAGAGCAGAGTGGGAGCCTCTCCCGTCTCACCTGCAGCAGCTCCAGCTCCGAGCCCCGGCTTCTCCTCTCCAGCTCGGAGACCAGCTCCTGCAGGGCCTGGCAGCGCTGGGCCAGCTTGGCCTCCGTCTCCCCCAGGATTCTCAGCTGTTCCCTCTCTTCCTTCTCTAGCTTCTGCAGTTGCCTCTGTTTCTCCTCAGCCAGGAAGTTTTTCTGCTGCTCAAACTCTGCGTGGATCCTCAACTTGTGTGTCTCAACCTTCTCCTTTGGTGTCATTGGAAAGAGAGAGGTGGGTTTTTTTAAAAATCAAAACCTCCCAAGCTTGGAGAATTGAGGTGTCCATACCCACTTCTACTCCCTGCCGACTTACCACTCTGGCTCTGTCCGGGAAGAAACACACACACACACACACACACACACACACACACACACACCAGTTGCCTTAGAACAGTGATGGCGAACCTATGACACGCGTGTCAGAGGTGACACGAGAACTCATTTTTTTGGTTGATTTTTCTTTGTTAAATGGCATTTAAATATATAAAATAAATATCAAAAATATAAATCTTTGTTTTACTATGGTTGCAAATATCAAAAAATTTCTATTTGTGACACGGCACCAGAGTTAAGTTAGGGTTTTTCAAAATGCTGACACGCTGAGCTCAGAAGGTTCGCCATCCCTGCCCTAGAGTAACAGCTGCATCAGCCCACGGAATCAGGGACTCTCCTCAACTTCTTTTAAAACCCGACCAGCACTCAAATGTGTCCTTTCATCTTCATATCTCAGTGTTACTGAGGAGTAACACCTGTCCCCACTCAAACCTCACAAAGACGGGTCCACAACACCAATTCTTAAGTCCTGGGGCAAGAAAGTCTTTGTGCTGTACTTCGCTCGCCCTCTTGTATTAGTGACTAGAGCAGTGGTTCTCAACCTTCCTAACGCCGCGACCCTTTAATACAGTTCCTCATGTTGTGGTGACCCCCAATTTCAATGTTACAAATTGAACATAATTAAAGCATAGTGATTAATCACAAAAACAATATGTAATTATATATGTGTTTTCCGATGGTCTTGGGAGACCCCTGTGAAAGGGTCATTCAACTTCCAAAGGGGTCGTGACCCACAGGTTGAGAACCGCTGGACTAGAGGGTTACCAATGACACAAGATGACCCCTTCTGCCACCACAGCTTGATTCACCCTCCCTACTTCCTAAATCTTCCTCTTTTGGTATCTATTGGCCACGAGTTCCTTCCACTCCACTCCTGACCCACCTCCATATCACCAGTGCAGAATAAGCTTTAGTTCCTCATTCTACTTTGGACCAGTGATCTGGACACAGTCAGGCAATCACCTGGTCAGACTGGTTTTCCTACCTCAGGCCTTGGTGGTTCCCTCAAGTTTGTTCCTCACAGCCCCTGTCATTTCCTGACAGGCGTATCCGTCTCTCTCCTGGGATAGCTCTGTCCCAGATGCTAAGGTATTGGTGTGGTCAACCCCTAAGACTGAGCAGGAACTTTAGGGTATGGCTTTTTCCTCAGCATCTCTTAAGACTCTCAATTTTTGTGTCTGATTGGGAGCTCTCTTTGAGCTCCATGCTGTTTATTTCCCTCTACCAGGGAGCCTAGAGGACTGTTGGTTCTTGAAGAGTGACATACGCTGACCCTATCACTCTTCAGACAGGCAGTGATATGGTTAGGGTTTCCTTGAGGCTAGGCCCCTGGACCCTGTCTAGGCTTTTGATCTAAGATGCCTTTGGGGAATGTGACTCTTGCCTTCCAGGCTGCTCTCTTCGTTACAACATCCATTTCCAACTTCTCAGCCAATTCTTGCTCTTTTCTCAGTTTCTTTAATGCCACCTGGAGCTTCTCCTGCAGAGAAAGATAGCAGGGTAATGTCCAAGCAGACCAAGAAGGAGGTGGGGGAAGATCATATGGGTTCTCAGAAAAGCCTGAGGGTAGAAAAGGAGGGAGGACTAGAGTCCTATTGGGGTTCAAATTTTTGTGACATTTTTTGGAAAAAGCCTCATGTTTCTTAAGAAAGCGCCACACTGTTCGGGTGGCAGGGGTGAGGGCAGTACTCATTCTTAATTAACCAGGAAACCACAAGGAAACAAGATCTTTGCAGCATTTTCCCATAGCATCTTCCCTGCTCCTGGGAATAATAAAGTTCTGATGAGTCTTAAATTAGACAAGAAGGTGGGGAACGCTCTCCCTTTCTCCAGTCCCCCACCTCTACAGGGGACTCTCTCCCATCCCATCTCCTTTCTATCTGTTCATGCCTCCGTGCCAAGACCTCACCTGGTACTCCTGGGCAGCCTCCTCAAGCGGGACCACAGGATGGTCACGGTGTTTCCGAGACTGGGAACACACCAGGCAAAGAGCCTTCTCATCTCTCTCACAGAACAGGAGAAGTCTCTCTCCATGCACCCCACATTGCTCCTTCTGTGTGCCCTCCTTAGCATTTTGGCTGATTTGCCTTAGGTTGTCCACCATATTGGCTAGCTGGAGATTGGGCCGGAAGTTCTTGAGCAGGAATTGCTTCCTGCACACAGGACAGGTGCCGCCCCCAGCTTTGGCGACCTGAGAGATGCATTCATGGCAGAAGCTGTGGCCACATTCAATGCTCACAGGCTCCACTGTGGGATCCAGGCAGATGGGGCATGTGACCTCCTCCCACATCATTGCCAAGGGCTTTGCTGAGGCCATGGCGGGTTTGTTCCTAGTAAGCAGCACGGTGGAGATCTTAAGGCGACCTAGTAGGGGGAGGAGAAAAGTTAGGGAGAAGACGAGAAAGGGTGTGTGGGGAAAACAAAACAACTCAAAGAAAGATATGAGGGAGAGTGAACTGGAGGGGTTAAAACAAGACAAGAACATTAACCTGAATAACAAGACCTTTTCCTCCATAGTCTGTCTGATTCAGTCAGACAGAAGGGGGTAACTGAGTCCCAACCCCCAAACTAGGTATGTGCCCTGCCCAGAATTGAACTCACAACCTTTGGTGTATGGGAGGACACTCCAACCAACTGAGCTACACTGGGCGGGGCTATTCTTATATATTCTTTTAAATATGTATGTGTATCTGTGCGTGTGTATGTGTGTGTGTATATATATATAAAATCAGCATACCCTGGGCTCTTCTCTCAGCTACTCTGAACTTGGCAGCTGTTTTCATCTCCTCCATCCTAACCCTGGCCCTCTCTCTTCCAGAGGAGTACTTTTTTTGAGAGAGAGAGCGAGCCCAATGTCTGGGGATCGGTTGCCATCCATAGGCGCCTGTTCGGGGGATCGAACCCACAACCTTTTGGGGCACCAACCTTTCAGTGCACGGGACTATGCTCCAACCAGCGAGCCACACGGGCCAGGGCTAGAGGCGGGGATGAGAGACTCAGGATCGCAGACCTCCCCCACACTGGATTCCTCGGGACTACCCTCCAGCTGGGTTTCCGGCTTCCGTTCTGTTTTTCTCCCCCGCCCCGCCCCCCGCCCCCACCCCCAGCTTTAGCCGGCCCTTGTCCCAGCTCAGGTGCCCGCAGCAGGGCAGCCCGAGCTCCTTCCACGTTACTTGGAAGTCACGTTCACAGCCCAGGCTCCTCCCAGGAAGACCTGCTGCGGAGAGGGGGAGACTGACCCCCAAGGCTCTAGGGTGGGAACTGGAAGAAAGGGGATCTTCAGACCTGGGCAGGGGTACCTAGGGCCAGCCTGTTCACTCACCTTTTCCGGGCACTCAGGGGGCGGCAGCCGGCTTTCTATTCCACTTTCGATTTTCTGTAAGAGGCAAGTCTAAGGGAGGCGGGCCAGGGGAGAGAGTGGGAGGAGCGAGAGGAGGAGAGGAAACCCAAGGGGCGGGCGAGGCGGGAGAAGGGCGAGCGGAGGTGGAGTTGATAGTCCCCGGGTCGGAAGCTGCATACGTCTGGGCTGGTGCTGCTTGGAGGCTGGGTCAGAGTGAAAGCTCGCTGCCTTTGCTTCCTGCTTTGTGCCCCTTCCCGTGTCCTCACTATCTAATACAGTAAAACATCTATCAGCGTTTCTCAACCTGTGGGTCGCTTAAGACCACCCTGCATATCAGATATTTACATTACGATTCATAACAGTAGCAACATTACAGTTATGAAGTAGCAACGAAAATAATTTTATGGTTGGGTCACAACATGAGGAACTGTATTTAAAGGGCCAGAAGGTTGAGAACCACTAACTAGATGGAGGGGCCATCAGCCCACCCCGACGTGCTGTGCCCTCTTAAGGAGGTTTGGTGGGAGAGAAGAGCGCCGGGAGTGCGCCCTCACTTGCCACCATCTGCTACCTACTTTCAGAAACAATTCCTTTTCCCAGCACTTGTTATTCTTTTAACATCAGGGCATAAGAGATTTATTGTGCAGGGCCTCAAGGCATGTATCACACCAGCCCAGTGGTTCTCAACCTTCCTAATGCCACGACCCTTTAATACAGTTCCTCAGGTTGTGGTGACCCCCAATTTCATTGTTACAAATTGAACATAATTAAAGCATAATGATTCATCACAAAAACAATATGTAATTATATATGTGTTTTCTTTTTTTTTTTTTTTTGGTTTTATTTATTTATTTATTTTTTGGATTTTTTTTTTTCCTTTATTGATTAAGGCATTACATATGTGTCCTTATCCCCCCATTATTCCCCCCCACTCATGCCCTCACCCCCCTGTGTCTGTGTCCATTGGTTAGGCTTATATGCATGCATACAAGTTCTCTGGTTGATCTCACCCCCTTACCCCCACCCTCCCTTACCTTCCCTCTGAGGTTTGACGGTCTGATCGATGTTTCTCTGTCTCTGGATCTGTTTTTGTTCATCAGTGTATGTTGTTCATTATATTCCACAAATGAGTGAGGTCATGTGATATTTATCTTTCTCTGACTGGCTTATTTTGCTTAGCATAATGCTCTTCAGTTCCATTCATGCTGTTGCAAATGGTAAGAATTTCTTCTTTTTTTTTTTATTGCTTAAAGCATTACAAAGGGTATTACATATGTGTCCTTTTTTTCCCCCCCGCCCTTGACAGTCCCCTAGCCTCCCCTATCCCCCAGTGTCTTATGTCCATTGGTTATGCTTATATGCATGCATACAAGTCCTTTGGTTGATCTCTTACCCCCCTCCCTCCTGCCCCCCAACCCTCCCCGGCCTTCCCGCTGCAGTTTGACAATCTGTTTGAGGCAGCTCTGTCTTAGGCAACCCCTGTGAAAGGGTCGTTCGACTCCCAAAGGGGTCGCGACCCACAGGTTGAAAACTGCTGCACCAGGGAGTGGTTAGAAGGAAATTGACAGTGATTGAACACCAACTGTGTTCTTGTCACTGAGCTAGGGATTTTCTTAGATTATTTCGTTATTATTATTATTTTAAAGATTGTGCTAAATACCCATAACATAAAATTTACCACGTTAACTATTTTTAGGTGTGTAATCCAGTGGCATTAAATACATTCACATTGCTGTGCAGCCATCACCACCATCCATCTACAGAACTTTTTTCATCTTGCCAAACCAAAACTCTGTCTCCATTAAACAATGATTGCCCATTCCTCCCTCTCTCCAGCCCCTGCAACCACCATTTTAAGCAGACGTGATGTGGTACCCTGCATTGAATCCCAGATTAGGAAACAGGCACTAATGGAAAAACTGATGAAATACAAAGGAAACCTGGACTGTAGTTACTAGTAATGGACCATCAGTAATTCCTTAGTTTTGACAGATGTACCATGTTTATATTAACATTAAGGAAGCTGGCTGGAGAATAGACAGAAACTTTTTATGCTATCTTTGAAGCTGTTCTGTGAATCTAAATTTATTTCCAAATAAAAAGTTTAGTTAAAAATCCCCAAACTCTGACTATGAGCGGGAAGCATGACATGTGGATGGACAATGTAGAGGAGTTGAGACTACTGAAGCCTGTTCTCAGTCCCTATTTGAAAGGAAAGGGAGTACGTATGGGGAATCTATGATGTTTCAAGTCCTTTTCTGAGTGCTCTCACATTATATTATAATTCTAACAATGATCCCATGAAATAACCATTATTCTCAGTTTACAAGTGAAGCATAAAAGGCCCAAGGGGTTAAAGTAATTTGCTTATTATCACAGTTGATAAGTGACAGATCTAGAAATATATCTCAGCTTTTTCATTACATCATGCTTGATGAATGATTTCCAAGGGTTAACACTAGCAGAGAAAGGGAGAGACAGTACTTCATCATCATAGGCTTATTTTACACCACCATCATCCCCGAGGTGTAGGCATAAGGTTAGAGAACTTGTCTCCTCTCTGACATGCTCCCCGTGTTTAAAGCACTCAGGCACACCTCTTTGGCTATGTTGCCTGATTTCTCTTTGGCAGAATTTGGAAAAAGCTTAGGCTTATTCTCTTGAGAAACTGAAATGCCTCACTGTCTCTTGCTCCAGAAGGACTGAGTGTGTCCCAGTCCCTAACCATCCTCTTGGTCTCCACCTGCCTCTGTTTGTCACCAGGCAACTCATGGGGCTGACCTTTTGGGAAGAGCAGGTGCTCAGGACAGGAAACCTTAGTATTCTTCTGGCGCCCTCTATGAAAAATCATCTGGATGTTACCACCTGATGCTTCCTTCCAAGTCCCAGAGCTGCCTGGCCCAGGACTCAGGGGGTTCAGTAAATTCAACTCTGAAAATCTCTTGGCTTTGCACCGGGATCCCAGCAGACCTGTTATTTCCCTAACTCTGTCAGGAGGATTATAGTATTCTGGTCTTTATTGACACAGCAAGAAATGCATTTCACAAATGGACAGATAGATGAGAGGAGACAGAAGCTCTGCAGCTATGGTGAGTGCTGGGCCTGGAGTATCAAAGCTGGGCTTGCGATGGGGAGACTGCACACCGAGGCCTTGCACCACCAACCTACATCAGCGTTTCTCCTTCTGGGCAGCACTGAACGCTTCTTCACACGACCCCATTCATCCCTAGAACATAAAAGCTTCAAACAGCTAGAAAGCAGCTGGAGGTGAAATGGATCTGAGTTGTTTCTGGGGAGCTGGAGACCCTCCAGACAGTTTTTGACTGCCCAGATGCAGATGTCTGCCCTAGACAGGATTATGCTAAGCTTATTTCTAAGCAGAGCAGTATTAGAGCTAATTTTTCAACAACCTTCATCCCCTAGGTATAGGCATAAAGTTAGAGAAATTCTCTCCTCTCTGACATACTCCCCATGTTTAGAGCAATCATGCATTCCTCTTTGGCTATGTTGCCTAATACCTCATTGGCAGAATTTTTTTGTTTTGTTTGTTTTTTGTTTTGTTAATTTTCACCCTAGGATATTTTTTACATGGAGTGTTAGGGAGAGTGGAAGAAAGAGAGAAACATATTGATTAATGGCCTTCTGCAGGAGCCCCGACCAGGGCTGGGCCAAGCAGGAACCTAAAACCAAGGTACATGCCCTTGACCAGTATTGAAACCGGGACCCTTTGGTCCATAGGCTGGCGCTCTATCCACTGAGCCAAACCGGCTAGTGCTGGCAGAATTTGGAAAGAGCTGATGTTTAACAACATCACGAGCTTGGGGAAACCTTAGGTCCCCAGCTCTTGACAATCTTTGCTAGGCTAAGGCTGCTGTGCCAGCGCCTACTTCTCTGTCATTACTCTTAGCCCCAGGCATGGGGCTTCTTCAGTCCCAAGACTCCGCTGGCAAGTCCAGAGACTTACAGCCTAATATCCTCTTGAGTACCAGAGACTAATGTCTGGTTGCCATGGAAATCCTCTTGTGGGAGAAGGGTCTCCAACCTTCTCTAAGCTAGGTATTACGCTTAGATGGCTCTTAGTTTGGCCATGAACCACTTGGGGACAGACTTCCCTGATCAGAGAAAGACACAGTCTTTGCACTATTCATGGTCTTCTGGGACCTGGATGAATAGATGGTAGAGGGGCAGCGAGTGTGGTTTAATTTCCCCCACACCCTTAGAAGGGTCTGCTCTGTATTGATTCTCTGTCTCTTTCTTCCTCCCTCTCTATTTCTTCCTCTTATTGTTTTTCTTTGCAGGTGTAGGTCTATCACATTTCTCCTTTGGTCTCCAGGAGATTTTATTTTTTGTTAGGGGGAAGATTTTCTTAAGCCATGAGTCTGTATTAAACTCATGCACTATGAAACGTAGGGATGGCCAATAAACACATGGATCCTGATAATCTTAGAACTTTTCAATGGGGAAGTTCAAGGATTGATGCATATAAGAGGTGAGGGAGGAGGTAGGGGTGGTCGATGAGAGTGCATAAATCTGTAATTGTATTTCATCTTCTTTGGGGATAAAAATTTTAAGCACGAATGATATTAGTAATCATCACAGCTAGCAGAAAGAAGCAACATGACGCAGTGCTGAAGAATGTGGGCTCTGGAGTTAGACTGCTTAGAATTGAATGCTGGCTCATCTACTTTTTTACTTCACGATCTTAGGCAAGTTATACAACTACTTGGTACTTTAGTTTTTCCATATGCAAAATGGAAATGATAATTATACCCACCTCATAAAGTAGTAAATACTAAAACAACCCATAATAGTTAACATTCATTAATTGCTTATTCTGTGCCAGGCACTATTCTAATGCTTTGCATGTATTCTCATTTAATCTTTATAACGATCTCAAGAGACAAGTATTATCATTAAAGATTTTAGAGATGAGAGTGCTGAGGAATGGACAGACACATGGGCTTTGGAGTCAAATGAACTGTACTTGATGCTGGTCCCTTATGTTTACTCTTAATGTGGCCATTGACAGATTTCCACACCTCTCAGGCTCTATTTCCTCATCTAAA